TTAAAATCAAAATTTTAATTAAATACCAAATTAGAGTCCAACTCTAAATTCAAGAAGAAATTAGGGCGAACATGTTAATTAAAATCAAATTTTAATTAAACACAAATTGAAGTCTAACTCTAATCTTAAATAAAATTTTGGGGCAACACAATTTAATTAAAATCAGATTTTATTTAAATGTGTTATTAGAATCAAATTCTAATCTCAAAATTATAATCGGGTGAATAATGATTAAAATCAAATTTCAATCAAGTATTAAATTAGAGTTCAACTCTAATTTAAATTGAATTAATATTTTAATTTAAGATGAAACTCCTAAATAAAATAAAATTCAATTTAGGGTCAAAGTTTAATATTTAATAAGTTAAAATCTAATTTTAACAAAATATGAAAGTCGTCAATTTTTAAATAAAATATTAATTTAGGTCAAAATTAAAATTATAGGTCAAAACCATTTAAAATACAATTTTAAAATCTTTTTAAAATTCAAATTCAAAAATCTTTTGAAAATTGCATCTTGACCCAAATTTAAATTTATAACCAGGACCTCCCAATTTCGAAAATTGTAAGTAGGCCCTTCATTTAAAAATTGCAAACTTGATCCCTTAAAGAAAATTGCAGGCAGGCCCCTTAAATTTCATAAATTGCAAAGGCAGCCCCCGTCCCAGACGATTTCTGAAAACCGTAAAATATAATTTTTTTTTTTGTTCTCTTGGCTGGCGGCGCCGGTAATGGCACCGCCCAAACAGCCCCTGCGGCGGAGGCCGCCGCTGTCCAGCAACAGCGGCTTCCTGCCGCCCGCAGCAAGCAGTAGCAGCTGCTGCTGCTGCTGCAAAAATAGCAGCAGCGGCGCTCGCCACTGCCCAAGCGACAAGCGCCGCTTTCGCACCGCGCGGCAGCACCATGCTGCTGTGCGCCCAGCTGTACCGGCGGCAATTCGGCTCCACCTCTTCCCCGCCACTGTTACAAAAACCGGCAGAAACCAAACGATCCAATTTTTTATTTTTATTTTTATTTTTTTAAATTCCAATCCAAATTATTTTCTATTCAAAACAATTTTGAACAAAAAATTATTTATTTCGTTAATCGCTAAAACAAGGAAAAACAATTAACATTTAATTGTTCCAACATGCAAAGCAACTTCTAACAAACACAAAGTAGGCTCTGATACTACTGTTGGGAATCTACTTATACATGCACAGCGGAATTTAAAATAATTTTCGATTCCCACCAAGAATCGCCTTTGTGTTTAGATAGAAATTGTGATAAGATTATATCTTTTTCAGATTTGCAATCCTTTTGCTTTTCTTTTCGTTCCACAACCTTGATTCGCCACCACAGCTGTCCAATTGTCCAGCCTCCAACGGTGATCCACACAGAGAATATGATTGCAGCCTCTAGGGTTTTTTCTTGTGCCAGCAAAAATAATGAAAACCTTATGGACCTCAAACCCTAATTTGTTATTTATATAAACCCAAACAGGCTCGGCCCGGTCCGGTCCAATAATTAATTAAACCCGGTCCGTGAATTAATTAATCCAATTAATTAATTCGAAAATATAAATAACAAATCCAATTAATTAATTTATCTAACGATTGTTAAATTAACCAATCGGCAATTTGCAATCTTCCAATTCTCTTTTGTGTGTGACCCATTAGGTTCCCGACCAC